GCAATAAATTATATCTTCAACGGCTTTGGACCATTTAAAATTGCCTTGAATTTAAGAATGTGGCAGAAAGAGAAAGAGATTAGTGAAAAGGGTTAAAATTACAGTCCACACCTTTTGCGCCTGGTCTGGCCTTTCGCTTTGACAGTTGGCTAATTGCTAAGGACTATTAACTGTTCAGGTATTCGTTTGTCATTTGCCAATTGCCAATTCCAATTCCAATTTGCTGTCATTTTGTTGTCTATTCCTTTCTATGGATTCCTACACAATATCCCCTATTCCTATTGGAAACGTGTCCAACTGAGTGCGCTTTCTTATTGGAATAATAGCTAATTCTGCATTCTGTATTTCTACAGCTCTGGACGCTGCCAGCGAAGGCGGCGCATGCATAGGAGAGTCGCCTGGCAGTCAGCAGTGGAAGCAGAGACAGAGAGCGGCAGACAGCGTCGGGATTCAAATGTCGTCGAGCAACGGCGGCATCAATAGTGCCACAAATGGCCGCAGTGGCAGCACTGGCAGCGCCAACATCAATCTCAATCTCAAGCCCAAAGCGGGCGCAACAATTGCAACAGCAACAACGACGACAACGACACACAAGACTTTGCCGGACCTGAAGACGCAGCGGAGCAACAGCAGCGCCGGCAGCGGCATCGGCATTGTGGCCAAAACCTTGGCCACCCACCGACGGGACAGCTCGCACGTGGAGAAATCGCAGCTGCCGGAGCGGCCGCTCAGCTATGGACCGCCGCAGCAGAGCAAACCCGTGGCCCTCAGCAAGGAGCCGAAGGAGGGGCATCTGGTGTACTGCGAGGGCAAGCTGCACTCCGGCACACTGCAGTCCCTCATCCTGCACATGGTGCCCACGCACGACTACTACCCGGAGCACAATTTTCTGTTTGCCTTTCTGTTGAGCGGACGCCTGTTCATTCGGCCGTACGAGCTGCTCGCCCAGATCTCCAGCAACTGGGAGCTGCAGCAGCAGCCGACGGGAGATGTGGTGGACGAGGCTGTTGCCCAGCCGCCGTCGTTGCCGCTGCACTTGAACTCTGCCTCGCCGCTGACACAGCGCAAGGGATCGGCCGCAGCTGGAGCAGCGGCTGGACAGGGGCCGGGGCCGGGGCAGGAGCTGGAGCTGGAGCCAAAGCCACAGCAGCGAACTTTGACGCAGCGATCGGCGCAGCATTGCATACGCTTGCTCTCCGAATGGATTGAGATCTTTCCGTATGACTTTCGGGATGAGCGCCTGATGCAGCAGGTGCGCATCTTGGCCAGAAAATGTGTATACATTGACAACTCGCTGGGCAAGCAGGTGTCGCGCATCCTGCAGCTGCTCGTGGCGCGTCTGAAGGATCTGGAGCAGTACGAGGAGTTTCTGCAGCTGCTCAACAACGAGGCCATCGAACAGCAGTCGCACCAGCACCAGCAGCAACAGTCACAGCAACAGATGCACCATCAGCATCAGCTGCATCATCATCATCAGCATCATCTACACTTGCATAATCCGTTTCAAACGTTTCTAGGCAGCTCCCATACATCATCGTCGGGCAGTGGCCACACCACGAACGGTTTATCGACGAGCGGAGCCGGCAGCGGCAGCGGCGGCGGCTCGGCCAGCAGCAGCGGCAACTCGACTAACAGCGGCAGCAACTCCGCCTCGAGCACTCCGCAGCCCGACGAGGTGTTCGGCATCATGGACTTGTGCCCCAGCTGTGAGCATTTGGCGCATCAGCTAACGGCCATCGAGTTGGAGCGTCTGTCGCACATTGGACCCGAGGAGTTTGTACAGGCCTTTGCCAAGGATTATCAGCAGCAGCAAGCCAAGGGCACGGCCATCGGAATGGGCATGGGCATGGGCATGGGCAGCACAATCACAGCTTCAAATGATGCGACGTCGGGCAGCTCCTCATTGAATGATATGAAGAAGACACGCAATTTGGAATCGTATGTTCAATGGTTCAATCGTCTCAGCTATTTGACGGCCAGCGAAATTGTTAAGGTGGGTGGCGTGGGTGGCCTCTGGTTACTGGGTGGGGGTGGGGGAGATTAGGGAGTGCTTAAAATGATTGGATGCGCTGCTGGCAGGGGATGAAAATGTAAATGAAAATGATGCCCGGCCATAAACGTATGGAATTATGTTTGCCCAGCGCAAAGCCATAAAAATGAAATTCAATTGCAAAAAGGCTGAAAACGTAATAGTAAAAGAAAGAAATATGTGAAAATCAATAGGGATTTCTTAGTAAAAAGCTAAGATGTTGGAGTGCTTAAAAAAAGTATATATAAATGAATTACAATGCATTAGAATTAGCTTAGATATGACATAGAATAGAGTGGACAGCCTTTCTATGCGATTTTCATTTAGATTTCAACTAGTTCTTCTTCATGTACCTTCGATTACATCTAATGTTTATTCCTTTACTTTCACAGTATCCGAAGAAGAAGCAGCGCGTGCGTATTATCGAATACTGGATTGAGACGGCACGCGAGTGCTTCAACATTGGCAACTTCAACAGTCTGATGGCCATTATAGCTGGCCTAAATCTCGCGCCCATTGGTCGACTTAAAAAGACGGCAAGTTCCTGAAGCATTACAAACTGCATGCGGCACATGTCTAACTCGTTTTCTCCTCTTTGCAGTGGTCTAAAGTGCAATCGGCAAAATTCTCCGTGCTGGAACATCAAATGGATCCAACATCGAATTTCAACAGTTATCGCTCGACGCTTAAAGCAGCTATGTGGCGCTCCGAGGGCGCCACAGAGGAACGCGAACGCATAATCATTCCATTTTTTAGTTTATTTGTTAAGGATTTATACTTTTTGAACGAAGGCTGCTCGAATCGGTAATTAGCTTAGGCTTAATTAACGAAAAGAGAAATCGAAATATCTATTCTCTTTCATTTCGCTTGCAGTTTGCCAAACAATCATATCAACTTTGAGAAATGCTCACAACTCGCCAAACAAGTGATGGAGTTCAATGAATGGAAGAAAGTCATTTGTCCATTTGAGAAATTGCCGAATGTAATTGCCTACCTGCAGCATAATGCGGTGCTCAATGAGAATACGCTCGCGATTGCATCGTTTGAGTGTGAGCCGCCCGAGAATACTGAGGAGAAGGATCGCTACAAAACTGTGAAAGCCGAAACGAAGCAACAATTGATGCAACAATTGCAGGAACAACAACAGCAACAGCAACATCAACAACAACACCAGCAATAGTTGTCTCTTAGCTATTTAGACTTTACACAGACTTAATTTAAGTTACGCTTAAGCGCTTGCCATGTTTTACTTTTTTTTTGTAAACTTACTTTTTACATAAGTCGATTATAAATTTTAAGACGAGAAAGTTGAGAATTGTTTAGGCTAAGCTCAGCAATTAGTTCAGACAAGACGCATGCGCTGCTGCCCCTTTTTAAGCTGGCTAATGACTTTTAAAGTCAGTAGTTGCCTTAGCACTATAACGAAGCAACGATCTAAACATCCCTAAATCTATATTGTACAATTAACTGACTTTTGGAAACGATCTAACTTAAACATTTCTTTCATCCTAACTGATTTCATATCCATTATCCAACTGATGTGGCGCATGTGCCATAAAAAAAAACGAAATATATTTTATGAAACGCGAAGCATCTCCAGAATGTTGCCAGTAATTAATTATTAATTAATTGAACTAAGCGAACATTAAAAATTAAGCAGATAAAGCGAAGCGAAACGAAATGAATGTATGTACTTAAAGCATTTAATTGCCGCAACTTATTTATATTCTATATTTAATTTCAATTCATGTAATATTTGAAGGGAAAACAAATCATATTTATGTCATATTATATATATATATACACATATATATATTATGTCGATAATTTATTTTGACCACATTTGACAAACTTGCGTGTATGCGTGTTACTTTGTAAGTGAACAGTATTTATATTTATATATTTACACAATTTTATAGCTAAATTAAATCAGTTTTTAATATATATTCGATATTCGATTCATTCGACGACGCTTTTGTCTTTGAAGCTTCAACATTTATTAACAATTATTAGCCATGCAGCATACATAATTCACACAAAACAAACAAACAAATGTTTTCTATATACTTATAAGAGTAACAGCAACAACAAAAACAAAAAGTACACCTTGTGGTAGCTACAATGATGCTTATCCTTTTTAAGAATTAATTTTTATTCAAGGAAACTACAAATACAATATATAAGTATACAAACTTATATGATTCAAACGAAAACAAAAATACAAAAAAAATTATATATATTATGGTATGTGTATGGATATCTCTACGATATTAACTATAAAGGGACTAAATCGACAAAACAAAATCCAACATATTCGATAAAAAAAAATGCTTTGAATAAATCAACTGATCAAAAACCATTCTCATAATACAAATGTGTTTTAATTTATTAATAATCAAATATATTCAGCTAACTTATTTACGTTCAAATTTGAAATAGCGTTGCGGTGCATTTTTGGCATGCTACATGACAAAAGCTGCCTGCTAGGCGCACAACAATTACGATAAACAGCGCTGCCAGATGTGATAAAATGTGACTCGATAACTTTTTACCCCAAATACAGCCCCTACACCATATATGCACGCACACAAACGAATCGCACACAGTGACAGACATAAGGGAATAGCGGCATCGGCATCGGCATTGGCGCTGTGCTTTATACGCGACGCGATTTTGTGGCGTGCAGACGTCTTGTCGGTGAAAAGTAAATGAAAATTGAAGTCGGAAAAGCGCATACAACAATCTAATTGGAAATTGAACCGAGTACTAAAGTGCATCAAATTGAATTTCAATCGCGAAGTTGCTTGACTGCTTGATTGTGTGTATGTAATGTGTAACTGTGTGTGTGAAAGAGAGCGTGTTTGACATTGTAAAGTGCAATTGCAATTTGATGAGTAATTGCGTGCGTGTGTGTGCGTTTGTTTGTTTGTGTTAATTACGTAGCAAGAGAGAGGTGAAAGGGTGCCGCCAAGGTTTCTCCAACAAGCAGAGCAGGACGATTGTGTTGTGTAGTCAACGAGTTGCGCCCAATTTGTTGCATTGGAGTGCAGCTAAAACAAGAACCTGTTGTTGTTGTTGTTATCGCTCGTAGTGGGGCAAAAACAAAGAGAACACAGCGACAAGACGGAAAAATCGATTGTGCTCATTTTTGTTTTGGTTCATGTTCATATTGGCAAATATGTGTGTGAGTGTGCTTGAGTGTGTTTGCCCGTACGTGTGAATGTGGGAGTGTGTGTGTGTGTGTTTGTAAAATAGCAACGAAAGCAACGCGCGAACTGCAACAATAACAAATCAAGACGATAACCCGATAACAGTGTCCTTTCTCGTAGGACATTAACTGCACATGGCATGACTCATGCAACGCAGCCCATACAAATAAACAGCAACAATGAAAAATAATCAAAAGTATGCAAAATTGCCCCAAGATTTGGATCTGAGCTTTCAAAGTGATTTAGATTTGCTGCCGGACACAGCGGCCGATATCGATGTCGATGAGTTTAATTTGAGTGGCACGCCACCTGCTGGTTTAGTACTAAACGACGACGACGACGACGTCGACGCCGGCGCTGACGACGACGACGAAGACGACGAAATTGTTATTGCAGCGCAGGTATTGGGTGGCGGCGGCAGCGGCGGCGGCGACGGCAACGGTGGCGGCAGCGGCGGCGGACTGCGTCTGGCCACACGTAAGCAGCGCAAACAGCGCAAGCAACAGCAAGTGGAGCAGCGGCTGTACAACAACAAGAACAAGATCTGCGGACTCGGCAGTGATAGTGTTATCGAGGTAAGTCCACAACAATTATCGATAATCGTAATCAGCGAGTTTTGATCAGCGATCAACTTTGGCACAAAGTAAATTGTCAAGGGACACAAACGACTTTTTTTATGTAGAATAATAATTAAATTTTACGCAAGCTAGTCCATTAAAATATCCGCTTTTGATACAATGAAATGTACACAAAAGCAAATTGCTTTTACAAATCACAATAGGAAATCTAAAGAAAAATACGAAAAATCGACAATGTTAAACGGCTAGAAAATCGATAAGACAACAAAGAAAGAAATATTCAGGCATTTGTAAGTAAGCGCACCTGAACCAAGAGTTCAGAAGTCGTTGCTATTGTTTAAATAGTTAGTCAAACAAAGGTAAAGCGTTGCCAGACTTTAGCAATTCAAAGGGAAATCACGTTTAATGCGCTGATGTTAATGGATTTATGTTGTTCCCCAAGTCGTTTGACGGCGAGGCAAAAGCGTAATGACATCTACTTAAAATGTTTTTGTGAGGTCCACGGTTTTTACGTGTGCGTGGACATTTTGGGTGGCTGGGCTGATGGGCTGATGGGCTGGTGGGCTGCTTGGTTGGTTGGCCATGCGCTGAGGTTTATATAAGTTGGCTTTCACGCCGCTTATCTTTAAAGCAGGTTGCATACACTGAGAGAATTGTATGTAAACTCAATTGATTACTAATTCGTGGGTAACTAACTGTAGAATAATTTAA